AAATAACTGATTCAAAAAGATGTCCTAGTTCTAAATTAAAACATGCTATAATATATATAAAGCTTTATTGTTCCTTTAGCTTGTTTTTCTAAGCTAAAGAGTATTTTCTAAAGTCCTCAACAACTGTTTACGATTTAGAATTAAATGTGCTTTCTGCTTATACTAGTGCTGCTGAAGAAATGTAGCTAGCAGACCTGTCACTTTTTTGTGCAGTTGTTTCTGTGGCATTATTTTCATTGGTAAATGTACAAGCTGATAGGAAAAGAAATCATTAGGTGCTCTCAGTATTGCTGAGGCATGGAGCTAGAACAGGTCAGTCACTGCATTTTGCAGATTGTGACATTTTAAATTACCTGTACTCTACTGGAAGCAATCTGTGGACCTAATTAACATCTCACCTAATTAATGTCGGGACTGTATATAGAGAATTCGAGATAGTTTTGCGCTGCCTTTATTTATTAATTACCACATTATTCAAATTTGCTATCTTTAATTTCTGTATTGAAAACTTCAGATTGGTGTGCTGTTTTCTTAAGTGGGAGTAACTTCTTTTTATTTTTTTTTTCTCCTTCAAGTAATCAATGCACTGCTGAATGAGTTCATTTTAATGCACTCAATCATGCCTCTAATGTTTGTAGCTTACGGGCGCAAGCATCAGTAATGCAGGAATGTTATATGGCTTTAGTTTGGGCCATTTCATAAAATATTCATGGAATCAAAAATGTGCATCAAAATAGCGGCTGGGAGAATTACATTTATGTGCCTGCTTTTATGGCAGCTTCACATTTAAACCCATTTGTGTTAATATCTAGTCAATCTTTCTACTTAAAAAAAAAAAAAGGCAAAATAGTAGTCTCCATATATACTCCTTTTGGTTTGATATCTATTTTGATGTAACAAATGTATACTTTTGGAGTGAGTTTTAGGAAGGGGAATTATAAAGAAAGTTTTAGTTAATGTAAAAACGTTTCTCTTCAGTATTTACAAAATTACATTGTGTTCTTTTGCTTGAATGCATAGATTTATTTTTTTTACTTCTAAGCAACCTGGTGAAAACTAGCACAAATCTTTGCATACATGTGTAGTTGCTATGAAAATAAGAGTAATTTCTAAAATTTGATACTGTTAGTGGCAGAGCAATGTCTTATGTTCATATAATTGTTTAAAACTGATGCTTTACTCCCAAAATTATATTGTGACAATGTTTACCTCCCATATTTAGTATTAAATTATTGCTGATAGGGTTTATTTTATTATGCCCTGAGCTTCATTAAACTATAACATTTTAGTAGTGATAGTACGTAGGTTGTAAGAGTTACATTTCTGGGTTTTGATTCCTTTTATAAACAGGGAAGAGGTATCAGAGATTTTCAAACTCCATTTAGGATACACTGAGCTAATTTCTGCGTGGCAGTGGGAAGAGAATATGCAATTGCTGTTAATGTTGCCACCTGAAAATAGCTGTACAGCTTTTTGTAACATTTTGCAAATAGATTTTTCAGATATAGATTTCCTAGAAACACCTTTTCGATTTTCTATTTAAATTCCTAGAGATATAAAAGATACATTTCTACAAACTATTCCGAGTGATTTTCCTACTCACTGGTTTGGTTTGGGTTTGTTTTTTTCTTCTTTCAGTTGATAGTAAAAGTAATTTAGAATTCTGCCTTGTCACAAATAAAAATACTCTTACTCTCAGAAATGTTCTGTAGTTGGCTTATTACTTTCTTTTAATGTTTTTCAAGATTTTCAGACAGCATCTACCTATGTATGCGCTTAACAGTTGCATTAGTTCAGTGGTTAAAAATTAGAATGCACTGGCCAGATCAGTTCCAACTGAACAACTCATGACAGTGGGTAAACTTACCAACCCCTGAAAAACTTATTTTTCCACAACATATGAGGTTCATGTAAACATTATATATTAAAGAAATAGGTTGCTATGTCATTTGCCAATGAGAACAAGGGATTTCAGATTAGTTTGATGGAGGAATGAATTCTAAAGTCTAAAATCTTTTACCTTCCATGAATCTGAAAGGTCTCCACATAGCTGGTATTACTTGAAAGAGTCTTCAGTAAGCAAATTCCCAGCCATGTAAGGGCTTTCAGGTCAAGAATTCCATCTCTCCCATGTTTAGGAAACTAGCAGGTATTTTATTTTTTTGCTCAGCATCTTCGTTTTGATATTTCTGTGGGTGGATTTTATTACTTTTTACTTCATAGTATTTCTTGGTAGTTAAGTGAAGTCAAATGTAATTTAGTTCCATTTGAATACTACCAAAACTATTATTGTTTTTGTATATTGAAGCTTGAGGTAGATGGATTGTTTCTAAAGAGATTTCACTAAGATCTGGCAAAAAGGATGTCAGGTCTCAGCTCTTACGGCTAGGTCAACTCTTAAGAACTATGGGGTACATGGAATATATGAGTTCAATTTCTAGTCTGACAGAAACTTTCTCAAGGGGATACTGCGAGTGAGGAAGCATGGGTAAGAATTACCATACCTGATAGTTATAACAATCTAAACAATAGTTCTGAAGGTTGCACATATTCTTTACTTAAATGATGTGTCCCATTAAAAGATTATATTAGAGTCTTAGGAGAAACTCAGATACTGTGTTCAGCTTCAAATTATGCATCCAGGTGATACCATTCATTTGTTTGCTGCGTCCCATTCTTACTAGAAGTTTCTGAGTTACATGTGAATCAAAGTCTATTATTCTAACGAATCCATTACACACGTAGTGAAACTAGGTCGCTTAAATGTATGGCAATATCCTTTCAAAGGGACAATAATAACTTTGGGGAGAATTCCAAGGAGGAGTCTGTACGTGTTTATGAGTATGCAAGTGGATAAAATGCTAGATCTAGCTATTAACATTAAATTTCAACTCAACTTTCCATCATTTGTCACAAAGCCAACACCAGTATATTCAATTAATATCTTAAATTTTCATTTAGCAACTTGGACAACTTGAATTCAGTTGACTTCTGAGTTGAGCTTGCCCTAAGAAATTAGCTGGACTGGATAGGCAGAAACCCAAATTCAAACTGGAGGCCTCTGTAGAATGAACAAGAGTTTTCATCCAAGTTTAGCAAGTCTACATCTCTATTTCCTGTTAAATGTACTGTCAGTCAATCCTTAAACACCTTGTACTGGTCATGATACTTTCGCTTTGCATTTCTGTTTGTTCAGTCTGATCTCAACTACATGATATTTTTGAAAGAATGTATAGATCTTTTCCTGTCTGTCTAAACGGTCTGATAGCTACTCTAGCAATAAGATTATTTTTTTTTTCTGGTTTGGGCCATCTCTTCAATACTTGTCCCTAGCTAGAGTGGAACTGAATAAAGCCTGTTGTCTCCCCTTTCACCTGGCATGTCACTCTTTAGCACTTTTTGTTGTGTCCTCTGGGACTCTTACATGAATCATAGGTTGTAGAGCCTTAAAATTATTTGCCTATGAAACTCACTTATTTAGTTGCTTCTTTGAAAGAAAAGTTTCTTATGCTTGTCAATTTGAGTTTAACTCATTTTAGTCATTAGAGAAGCTTAATGTGAAAATAAATTTAATTTTAATAAAGAGTTATGTTTTATATTGCAAGTTGAAAGCATGGTTATAAAAGGGTAACATATGCAAAAGACAAATCTAAATTAAGTTAATAAGAGGAATCTGTCATAGGTATTCTGCTGCCTCTAGGTTGGCTGAAGGCCTGGGGAACTACCCTCATTTTCTCTCAGAACGTTTAAAGAAGCTCCTTCTCGAGCTTCTCTCCCTTCCTTTCCTGCAACTGGGAAATAATGTTTCTCCTTCCTGGTTCTTTTTGTAATTTGAATGCAGCACTGTAAAAACAGTCTGCCAAAGAGTAATCATTCCTTCTAAATCATGTTTCAGAAGAGGTGTAAACTGCAAACACATCTAAGGAAATTTAGTTTATGGTTTGTTTCAGTTTTTAATAGAAATAGCAATTGACATATTGACGATCTATGGGACAAGATTCCTCCATCACACACACACAAACTTAGGAAGGAAGGGTCACATTCACAGTTCTCCCTGCTGTAGAACATTCTTTGTAAAACAAGGTACTGTGACCAGAAAGCTTTTTTTTTTTTTTTTTTTTGGTCATCTTACATGCTTCCCAGCAGTTTTTCTGTACCCATTATGTATAAGGAAAAACTTTTCTAGTCTTTCAAAGGGCTTTGAATTTCCGTTGTCCAGAAAGTGTGGAAATCTCCTAGATTGTCTGTATACATGGAGCTAAATCTAGCTGAAGGCAGAGGAGAGGAAGGAACTATTTTCATGTTAAAATGAATTGAACTTTACCTTCAAACTCTTTTACCTTAAAGGTGTTTGAGTAACTTTAAGGTTTTCGAATGCATGACTTCAGGCTCAATAATTAATCTATTATTGGTTAATACTCTGACAGTAAATTTACTACATAAACTCACCAGAGTTGGCCTAGTAATAACTGTTGAATAAATGACTTTGCATAATAATTGTTTTCATCAGTTAATTTGATTGAATAAAGGTTGGGGGTTTTCCCCACAGTTTTGATACCTCTGTTCTCCACATTTCAAGTCTGCCAGCACAGGTGTTCATTGTGGAAAAAGAAACTTAAGGAACAGTTTGAATTGTGATTATTTATGCATAGATGTGATTTTGAAATATGAGATCCAAAAGGCTATATCCATGGATCCATAATAGATGTATTTTCTGAAAAATTCTGACTTTGCATCCTTGGGAGCACACATCCCCAACATTGTGAATCTACAAAGAAAAGCTAATTTAAAATATGATAAGTTTAAATTGCAACATTACTGGTAACTCTGAGATGTGGCAGTATTTTCCAGTGATCTGTAAGATATATATCAAAGATTCTTGAAAAATCTGTGAAATTATTGACTCCAACTTATTTTCTAATGAGAAAATTATTATAGACTAATAACTTTTTAAAATTTTGTGGATTACACTGATTGTAACTCTGAATGACATTTTTCAGGTCATGTCAAGAAAGCTGCTGAGCATTATGAAGCATTTTATCAGCTAACAGAGGGTTCAATGTGGAAGGATAAGACAGGCCATACTTATAATTCACTGGCATGTGAGCATCTCTGGAGAATTTATACATTAATAGCAGACAAAATGCTAGGAAATAAAGAACACCAACAGGCCATCAAAACGCTAATAAAAGCTTTAAAAATGGCAAAAGAAGGTGAGTGGAAAAGAACACTTTCACATTCCTTTATTTGATGTGCATGCCATGATTTTCCGAAAAGTAGAGTAGAAATTACCAAGTTTTTGACTGGGTGTTTATTTCCTGTGAAATTCAAAGACAAATGCTATCAATACACTTCCAGATGTCACTAAAGC